TATCACTGCATTTCCTTATGATGACACAATCTCATTCCAAGAGGAGTGAGAAATCAGACTGAGGCCATCATTGCTGCTTTTTCTGGCCTGAAGTATGAGGCAGTTAAATCTGAATACCGAAATGCTTGTCTGTAGAAACCAAAGAAAAACATTGCCCTTCTTTAAAAAATGTTTTTGATCATGCAAAGGACAACTAAAATGCTAATATGGTACCTCTTGCGTGAATGGTGAATATTTCAGAAAGGCAGTATAAAATAGTATTATAAAGGCAGGATCAGCCACTTACAAACTGTGGTGTGATATGTGAATTAATTTTTCTAGGATTCAGGCTCCTCATTTTCAAAACTAGGATAATACCTACCATAGAAGTTGATGCCAGCATTAGAATATCATACAGAATGCCTGCAGTGACATTTTATTTTTACACTTTTAAGTTTCTGTAATAGGTATGTAAAGGTCCCTGGGTGGTGCAAGTGGTTTGCTTGACTACTAACTGAAAGGTTGATGATTCAAACCCCACCCTGTGGTAGTGAGGAAGAAAGGCCTAACAATATAATTCTGGAATGATTACAGCCAAGATAATCCTACAAGTCTCAGTTCTACTCTGTAACAGAGGGTCACCTAACCTGTGGCATGGAGCTCTGGTAGCATAGTGCTTAAGGCACTTGACTGCTAACCAGAAGGTTGGAGGTTCAAACCCACCAGCCACTCCTTGGAAGGAAGGTTGGGCAATCTACTTCCATAGTGATACCGTCTCAGAAACCCAAGGAGGGGTTGCTATGAGTCAGACTCGACTCGATGGCAGTGAGTATCATGAGTTAGAATCAGCTCTCTGGCAAAGGTGATAGGGATGTATCTTATGGTTGTTAGGTACATTTTGCGGTACCTTCCCCTCCCCCAGCTAATCATGCTGCGTCTTGCAATCAATGGTACCTTAAACTGAAGAAATAATAGTATGCAAAGAGTTTAATGCTGTGTGTCAAGTACAATATGCATTCAGCAAATAGATCCTTTAAAAAAAAAAAAAAAAAAATTGAATTGAATTATGGCTCCTGTGTTAAGGCCCTGACTGAGTGGGGAAGTGAGGTATCTACTTGGAGGTTTTGAAGAGACCAGATAGGAAACCAGATCTCCAGGGTGGTAACAAATAGGCAGGAGGAAAGATTGTCTCCTCTGGGAACCTGGATATTTAGGGTGGGAGACAACTGATATTTGTGGGTTGTAGGTGTTAAAGTCAGTGTCTACCTTCTTCAGGGAGAACTGCACAGAAAAAAACCTGAAAACTCAATCTTGATTCATGCGGCTGTCATTGATTATTTCATTTACTTGCTCACTCTTGTTATTTGAAAGGAGCTCTAGTGGTGAACGGTTAAGCCCTCAGCTGCTGGTGAAAAGATTGGTATTTCAAACCTACCCTGCACCTCTGTGGGAAAAAACCCTGGAAATCTGCTTTCATAAACATTTATAGCCAAGAAACCCTATGGGCATACTTCTGTTTTGTCAAGGGTTGCTGTGAGTCAGAATCGACTCAACAACACCCAGCAGCACTTGTTCTTTAAGGAGGCTTACTTGAATGTCTTCAGCCTTATCTCACTTATGCTCCATGCAGGCCTGGGCAAGACTGACTGGTCATTCTTTGGGTACAGTGTTAAAGGGAAAGAGCTTGGCTTCTGTGAGAAAAAGTGGTAGTTCTTAGCTGGAGACTCTATGGGGAAAGTGAATTTTAAGAAAAGGACTAGGCCATAATGGTTTGTTCAACTACCCCTCACTTTTTGGGAAGTGTTCTGGTGGGAGTAGGGGGTCTTGGAGGAACTGAGTTGTACTTTATTAAGCAAGGCAACATTTCCTTGCAGATCTTTCTCTGCAAATCCATCTGAAATACCTGTATTCTAGTTTAAAAATTTCTAATTTGGGTGGGAGAAAGAATGGAAGAGTGAATCTTAGATAGATGGCACATAAAATATGCTCATACTGTACAAACTGTCTTATAGCTGCCCCTCTTATAAATAAATAATTTAAAAATACATTTTTACACGTAAAATTATTAAGGAGTAAAGAGACATTAACTTTAATTCTCTAAGTTACTCTCAAACAGTTCAGGGAAAAAAGTATATATGTGTAAAATATATGAAGCAAATGTGGTAAAATGTTAACATTTAGGGAATCCAAGTGAAGAGTTTCTACTCCAAGTAAATTCCAAGGGGAATTCTTTACTATTTTTGCAAGTTTTCTGTAAATACAAAATTATTTCTTAAGAAAAAGTTAAAATATCTTTCCACACAAGCACATATATTATACATAACATATTATTATATAGATGTACTGTAAAGGTATTTAGCAAGACTCCTATTATTACATATTTGATCTTTTCTACTTGCTTTTATAAGGAGCTCTGATGGCGCAGTAGTTATGGCATTCAGCTGCTAATCAAAAGGTCAGCAGTTCGAACCCACCAGCTGCTCCACAGGAAAAAGATGAGGCAGTCTGCTTCCATAAAGATAATTTATCCTTGTCATTTGGAATGGAATCGTTTACACTCCTCCTTTCCCCCTTTCTCCTTTGAGGCAATCCGCCCCTATAATGGACTTGATATGAAAATTCAAGTAAATTAACCAATTAATGCCTGAACCTAAGACTTCATTTAGAATTTTAAGTGGGTTAAATGGTGACTTTATTAGTATCTAGCTAAGATAAATGTTGCTGATCTAAAATAAACTCTAGAAAATTTCTTCAGTCCTGGCTCATCCAATGTAATAAAACTTTCTAAGAAATGAATGAATTTTTGGTGACATAAAATATCTTGGTTAAGTCTTGACTATTTGAATGTAATTCCTTAAAAAAGGTCAGAAGGAAGTTCTTCAGCGTCCTGAAGTTGTAGCTCTGATCTCATTCTGATGGGAGCAGCCGACAAATTCTATTTTGCCTTCATTCCAGTGTGCTTCACTATTTTCAGTGATGGCCAGATGTTTTGATTGGATTCCTATCCTGCTCCTAAGGGCAGATAGATGAGGGACTATTTGATCGGAGTCAGTAACCTCTTATGTTCTTTTCTATTAATTCATCTTCAACTTCTAATTATTTTTTCTAATGATATGTGTTATAAATTAAACCATAGAATAAAATTGTTTTATTTTTAGATCAAAACAGATACCATGTCTATATCCAGTATTTGTGCCAAAATAAAGCATGGTTTGGTTCAGTTTTTATGCATCCCCTATTGTTTTGAAAAACAAAAAAGCAGTAAGCAAGTCTACAGTATTTGCAGGCATAATGTCTATGGGTCTGATGAATCCAGAAGGTATAAGGGGAGTCCATTGATTTTCTTTAGTTATATCCCTTAATTTAAGTTCCTAACCTTACTTCAAAAATAATAAACTGCAAAACATTTCAATAAAATCTTTTCTGTGAAATTTACATGTTTTACAAATAGGCCCAGACAGGTCAAATTGCATTTGAATTTCGACATGCCCATTAGATTGAATGATAGGGCAATGTGAATGTTGTTTTCTCTTTTCTTTCTTTTTCCTTCTTCCCTAAAGTAAACTGGAATGGAAGAAATGGTGGATTAATAAATCCTACATTATGAATTACAATCAGTGCTACATTAAACTAAGAAGCTCTCTCTGTGGGAGAAAGATGAGGCAGTCTGCTTCAGTAAAGATTTACAGCTTTGGAAACTCTACGGGGCAGTTCTGCTCTGCCCCGTAGGGTCTCTATGAATCGGAATAAACCTGATGGCATTGAGTTTGGTTTTGGTTTGGCCACATTAAATTGTACTCTCAAATTAGAAATGAAAGCAGGGAAAAGAACCCTTTCTATCTGCTCTTTAGCTAAGAGGCAGGTATTATATTCAACTGACTGGGAAGACCAGTGTTTACGTGCAGTCTCAGCAGTAATGGGAGGCTATGTGTATTCCACAGTATTTCCTATAGTAGGCCTAAGGCTTGACACAGTAACTGACACAGAATGCAGCAAAAGTTGCAAATTTATTGAAAACTGCAAAGCATGAGTTTTGTCTATAGTTCAAGAAAAATGGTGTTTTTTTTGTTTTGTTTTGTTTTGTTTTGTTTTTTCTTCTTCCCTGAGTACTTTAAAAAGGAGTGCTGGTGGCATAGTGTCCAAGGCATTTGACTGCTAACCAGAAGGTTGGTAGTTCAAACTCACCAGCCACTCCATGGAAAGAAGACTGGGCAATCTACTTCCTTAAAGATTTACCACGTCAGAAACCCAAAGGGGATCACTATGAATCAGAATTAACTCGATGGCAGTGAGTTTGGTTTTTGATCTTGAAGCACTTAAAAAAATTAAGACTTCAAAATGGCATTTCTTAGTCACTCTCTGTGGTGGTGATAGTAGCAGCAGAAGTTGGCATTTGTTGAGTTGAGGAAAAGGAAGAGGATCCTTCCCCCAAAATCCTAGTTGATACCCTCTTCCCTTGGGGTCTTTCTGTGCACTCAAGTGTGCATCATGTGTAAGATGAAAATGCTGATTTGAAGTAGAGCAAGAGGAATTTTAAACATTAAAATGAAGTTTTGACAGGATAGAATAGGGGAAAAAAATGAAGAGCAATTCTTGGTTCACCTATGGCCTTCTTAATGTGGTGGCCACCATGTCATTCAGTTGGTGACTATTTTTACATATGTTTAACTTGCTTATTGGTCAGATGTTGCTCATAGTGTCCAACTGTAATCTTTCTCTCTCTCTTTCTGCCTCCATTTTTGCTATATCTGTCCCCCTAGATTAATAATATACTGATTTTCTTTAATGAATTCTCCATTAGAAATTTTTGACCTAAGAGTCCTAATTAGTTTGCCATCATCTCCAGGTCATAATTAGTCTGTTATCCAACATTTCCTTTTCGATTAATTTGTATAATCACTTTTGTCTTATCAAAAATAGTAATTTCCTGATAGTAAAGATTGAGCCTGCCATCACTCTGATTGTCTTTTATTTGTTTGCTTATTGATTTTTGTTTCCCTCTTGCTTCTCATTTTCAGCAGACCTACTCCAATGAAGTCCATTGTGTTGAAGAGATTCTGAAGGTGAGTTCATTGTTGCTGCTTCTCATTTCCAGAAATTTTTCATTAAGGAGACATACATCCATTTACTTTCACTTAATGAAAAGTTGCCATTCCCAAGCTTCTTTGAATATTATTTTCCCTCATACCTCCAAAAGCAATATAATCCAGAACAGATAATGAATAGAGTCTTAGACGTTGAGTTTTCTGACAGACTTTGTTTAAAATGAAGACTATAAACTGCAAGGCATTTGGACCAGAGTATTTATGGCATCTCCCTTAAGTTTTGCTGTTGTTCATAAAGATAGAGTTGCTCATTTCTCAAGAAAGATAACTCCCCGTATTGATGTAGTACGGAAGGCACCACAGGGTTAAGTAGTGCTTGATTTATGCCTCTTGGTGTTTTGTAAGTGATGCCTAGTATAGCCTCTTCTTCACTGAGACCATAAATTTTTAATGGGGTGAAAAGAAAAATAGTAGGATGTAAATGGACATCTTTAGACCTTCTTTGAAGGATTATTTTTTGTTACTTGAGACTGAGTCATGAAAATTTGTCCTTCAAATAGTCATTGACTACATTTTTTCATTTGTTTAATTTTTCTTGCACAAGGATAACAAACTCCTTTTAGAATGCAATTCTGGATGAGAAAAGTCCAAATTCTCTTCAGGAACTAGCATGTGTGGTTTTTATCAGAGAAGAATTATATAAACCATCATGTTTCCCATTTTGGCTTTAATTTCTAGGAAATCTAGAGCTAAATTTAATGCTCAAATATAGTAATTGTAGTAATTAAGGGTTTTGTATTTTATATTCCTTCTTTATAACTTTTAAATAAATTGTATTGGTATTTTTGCTGTGTCTTTTATTGTAAGGTTTCTGATTCTTTTTTGGAAGTCAGAAAGAGATATGACAAATTTAGCTATTAATTTAAATCTCTACTGCTCAATTTTTCCTCAATATGTTTACCAATATTTTTTCTTTAATTTTTCAATGTAAAATGTTAAGTGATGGTGGTGCTGAAACCACTAATTAAGTATATTTGTTACTATATATGGATTACCACCTCCACCTCACATGTGAAGGTTTTGAGAAAAGTGTCTAAGTGGCTATTTGGAAACACAACAACAACACAACACACTGCCGTCGATTCAGTTCTGACTCATAGCGACCCCTCCTTGGGTTTCCGAGGCAGTATCACTACCAACCAGAAGGCTGGCAGTTCAAATCCACCAGCCACTCCTCGGAAGGAAGGTTGGGCAATCCTACTTCCGTAGTGATACTGCCTCGGAAACCCAAGGAGGGGTCACTATGAGTCAGGTGTGACTCGACGGTACACAACAACAACAACATCATCACTACCAAGGTAGATTGCCCAACCTTCCTTCAGAGGAGTGGCTGGTGGGTTTGAATCGCCAGCCTTCTGGTTTAGCAGTCAAATGCCTTAGGCACTGCGCCACCAGATATCCCATCATTTTTGTTTTACAGTGTTTGTCCTCTCTTGTATTTAGGATGTTTAAGGGGGAAATAAAAAACACTGTCAACCAGATAATGAAACTAATAATAAACAAATTACCTTGATCAAGCTTTTGTTTCATCTTCTCCCTCTTCTATTCCTGAAATTCTTTGTTACAGTCAGCCATAAGAATGATAAATGACTGAATTATATATGGCCTTAGTATTTTCTCTTAAGTTGTGTGTGTTATTTTTATTTCACCAATATAGACAATAACAGTATATTGTTATGCAACAATACAGATTTGTTTTCTGCATACATCAGTGCTGCTTTTAGATTTTGATGTATATAATTATGTGACATGTCACATCCTTTGTTTAGGAAGGTGGTTATTAGAGCACCAGACAAGCATTTTTAGATTAATAAACTCATCCATTCTCCCTTCCCTCTTACCTCACATCAGTTTAATAAGTTCGTTTCCCTGGAAGTGCTTGAAAGTAAATGATTAATGGAAAGCCAAAGGGGTGTATCTTAATTTGGAAATCATAAATAGAGAAAGCAAATGAAAAGATGTCTGGAACTGAAGAGTATGTGGACCTTTGCATAGTGGAGACTTAGAGTCTGCTCCTCCTCTCCTCTATTTGTTACCTCAGTTAAGTCACGTGTTCTTACTGGCATTGGTTTCCTCATCAGTTTTCTTTGAAAAATGGTTATGGGCTAGTAGATGATCTGTAGGGTCCATGCCAGCTCACACCTTCTGATGCTGATCCAGATGCTTTCCTCGGCCTCATGGTTCCTGTTTTTATCTTGTACCAACAATTTATTAAGATTCCCAGGAATCCAAACACAAATCTTTCTGACAAGTAATGGACATAATAGTTACCTAACAGAGAAAATCAATTACAGAAGATATTGTTTGGTTCTCTGGGGAAAATATTAAGGGTGGAAGTATTTAACAAAGGGAAAGTGGTAACCTATAACTCCTACACGCTGATGGGTAAGAAGATAGAGACAGACACTGCTAGAAACCAAGAACTGGCTATGTACTAGGTTCCAGAAAGTGCACTGTGCCCTCAGTGGACATATGGAAATAGATTTTCTCCTTATAGTGACATAGCCTCTTAGGAATTAGGTCAGTACTAGTAACCATTGCCCCAATGCAACATTCTGATGATGCCGGTGCAATAAATGGTAGCACTACTCAATTGTTTATTCATTCATTTATTCAGCAAATATCTAATAAGCTTTGGAGAGATGTGATAATGAACAAGACAAAGTCCTTGCTCTCATAGAGATCACATTGGGGGAGTAGGGGAAGATCAATATATAATATATTGCGAAATATTGATAGGTGCTGTGAATAATATAGTGGACAAGTGAACAAAACCTCGAGGTGGGAAAAAGTTTGGTGTATTAGAGGAACGAGAGCTAGAGAGTCTGTGTATAGCGAAATGATCAAGATAGAGAGGTAGTCAGAACCTAGAGCATGTGGGGGCTTAGAAGGCAAGACTTGGGCAGCTGTCAAGTGGTTTGCCTACTTTCATATGAAATAAATTATTAAAAGAAGTGAAACCATGCCCTTGTGATTCTGGGCAACCTTAGTAATGACTTCAGTTGTACAAAGATTGATGCTCCTCTACTATGTTAGACATTTAAGGAGCTATATAAGTTTGTTTAGGCTACTAAAGAACCATTTAGGACCTGAAAGAGTTTATGTACTTTATAAGTGCCTAATTTAACAGCTGGGGCAGTCTTAAGTATTGAGAGTACAATTCACATAGCTTGAACTGGTGGCTAAACATCACAGATACCACTGGAACTCTAAAGAAATTCTGGAAAGCGTAGGAGTGATGCTCTCAAACATCTTCTGAATTGATTATTGCTCTTTTTTTTTTCTTTCTTTTCCATTTTAGCATTATAACGGTTCCATACCTTAAAATATAGTCATATAAATAAAACAGCAGCAACTATTTGGTTCAGTTTTAAAATTCTTTAAAAACTTTAATTGAAAATTTTAATATAATTGTATTAAGTGTCTTCTATGTACCATACAAGGATGAAATAGTTAAGCACGAGGCTGCTAACCAAAAGGCTGGTGATTCAAACCACTGGTGGCTCTGCAAGAGAGAGGTGTGGCAGTCTGCTTCCATAAAGACTACAGCATTGGAAACCCTATGGGGAAGTTCTGCTTTGTTCTATAGTATTGTTGCTATGAGTCAGAATCAGGGGCCCTCAGCAACAACACAGCATGCACCATCAAAGCAATTTACATAAATTAGTCTTAAACATGATGGAAAATAGGTGGTGTTAATCTACTTGTAGAGTCCCCGGCTAGTAGCACTGGACTATTAGCTAAAAGGTTGGTGATTCAAACCCACCCTGAGGTACCTCAAAGGATAAGCCTGTTGATCTGCTGCTGAAAGATCACAGCCTTGAAAAACCTGTGAAGCAATTCTGCATATACGTGGTTTGCCTGACATGAGTCTGAATTGACTCAATGGCAACTAAAAATAGCAGTCTCCCCGCTACTGAGAATTGAGCCTCAAAGAGCATATCTTAGGTAAGTAACAGTTTACTCAGGAGTCTCTGGGTGGTGCAAACAGTAATGCACTGTCTGCAAACTGAAAGATAGAAGGTCCCACCCACCCAGAGGCACCTCAGAAGAAAAGTATGGCATTCTCCTTCCAAAAAATCACCCATTGAAAATCCTATGGAGCACAGTTCGTGTTCTACTGAGATACATATGGGGTTGCCATGGGTTGGCATCAACTCAACAACAGCTAGTTGTAACATTTTACTTCCACTGACTTTACTCGTAAGAACCCCAGAGCTGTAATCTTCCCTTGTATTTTAATGCAGAATTCCTGTTTTGTTCTGAGCAAAGCAGATGGCTAGTCAGTAGACAAGGGCATGATTTCATCTTTAACAGAAGTTAACAAGAAAGCCGTTTTTTGCTTATCCCTGTGCCAAGTCATTTTTGTCTGTTCTGGGGTTATAGGAGCCTAGAGAGTGATAGTGGAAAAAAACAGGGGAGGACTTGGCAGTGAAGTACTTGCTAGAGCTCTGTCACCAGTCTCTGAAGGGCATGTCTGTGGTATAGAGAGGTTAGACAACACTTTAAGAAGAAGTGTTCTAATATAAAATATGTTACACATATACATGTATATGTATGATCTCCCACATATGCATGATTCTCCATGTTAAACATGATCTGGGGTCCCCAGTGTGCTGGTAGAGAGCTGCAGGTTGATCTTTAAGCCAATTTGCCAGGCCAGTCCAGCACATGCAAGAAAGACTTCTTTCTCTTAGACTGGAAAGACGAAGGGGCCCTGTGCTTGGCTTAGTCATTGGTTTCCTGGGGGAACTTGATCCAGTCATTTTAGACCTCAGTTTCCTTACCTGTAGAATGAAGGTGTTGGAGTTCCTGATCTCTAGTGCCATTTTAGCTCTTTTCTGGAAGGGGAAGGAAAGGTGTGTGTGTGTGTGTGTGTGTTTGCAATTAGATGTTCTTTATTTGACATGCCTGCTTTGCACTGGCTCTAACAAAGAATAAAATTCATGAGCGTGCTTAGGGCAAAAAAAGAATACATGTCAGGATGAGTATATTAATTTTAAATTCTTAGAAATTTTGCCTCTAACCAAGAAAACAGTGAATAAAAACAAACCTTCTGTTCATAGAAAGGGAAAGTAGTTTTTTAAGGCCCTCTCCCCCTAAATGTTCTTATGTGCTAATAGTGTGTATCAGAGAAGGGTCAAATCCATTAAAACTCTCCCAAGTGGAACAAGTGACCTGAATTACTTGTTTGCTTAAGTCAAACAGGAAAGTTCTTCTTCCTTTGAACTTAAATAATTCCAGGAAATGCAGTAAAGAATCTGAGAGAGAAAGACAACATTGAGTACAGACTACTGTCTAGCATGGCCCGTCATTTAGAGTTGTCAAAGTTACATAACCTCTAGTATAACACCTATTACAGTTTATATGCTTTATAATATTCAGAGTGTTTAAAAAACCATTCATGTTCTAAGCTCTTCTTTTCTTCTTCAAACTGGTTATTTCAGTTACATAACTAGGAGATCTTTCATTTTTGACGATAGCTCATTAAGTATTTTGAGAGAAAGTAAATGAAATAACTTTTTAACTTTCACTTTTCATTTACCATCAGTCCATTCTGCATTGAGTTTGTAAAGTTAACTTAAGTAGCAGAAGTGTTCTATTTATAATTTACTTTTTCTTCCCTTTCAAATCTCTTTCCAGGAAATGACCCATTCATGGCCTCCTCCTTTGACAGCAATACATACGCCTAGTACAGCTGAGCCATCTAAATTTCCTTTTCCCACAAAGGTAATTCCTTGAAATGATAGTAGACACCGCATCCACATCAGTGAGAAAGTCGCAACTATTGTTGTGGGCCAGATCAATGAATTACTATCTTTTTAACAACTCATGGCGACACCATGTGTGTCAGAGTAGAACCGTGCTCCATAGGGTTTTTAGTGGCTAATTTTTCCTAAGTTGATTTCCGAGCCTTTCTCCCAAGATAGCTCTTGATGGACTCACATCTCCACCCTTTTGGTTAGCAGATGAGCACGTTAACCATTTACACCACCCGGGGACTCTGTACATATACATACATCTCATAGTTCTCGTACTTCTTAAATCTTGTAACATTTAACGTGATGGTGTGATAACAAACAAATCAACTGTGGACCTCTTGTTTCCGTTACGGTTCAGTATTAGTGAACAATGTATCAAAACCCTGCCAATATCCTTTTTGGAGGCTCTTAAACTTTTAGGTAATCATCACAGTTAAGAAACCTCATCTTCAGATCTGTGTTCTGTCCTGCATGATATGCATGCACATTGTTAATATATTATTACTATTCCTTTCCATGATACTGTTTTCAAAAGAGGTTATCTTGCCACAAATTAGGTATTTTATATATTTCTAAAAATACTTAAAGAAACAAAACGTGATTCATTATTACTGGTTTTAAAGTAAAGTATTAAACTTTGTAAAATGCCTTTCTTTAATGCCAGAAGAAAAATGAACTCTGGGAAACAATAAAAACAAAAAAAAGCTGTTTTATGTAAAAATTAGACTTATCAGTATTTTCACCCTATGTTGAAATGTACCAAAAAATTGTATTGATGAATGGATAGGTAGGTGATAAAGTCATGTAACAAAACGTTCATTGTAGAAATTTTCTAGTGGATTATGTGGGTATTCCCTGCACAGTTATTTCCATTTTTTCCTATATATTCGAAAGCTTTTGTAAGACTATCTTTTTAATGCTACAAGCTGTACAGTTTGCCCTTAGATTTACATTCTATTTTAATAACTAGAGATTTTTATTTTTACTTCTAGGACTCTCAGCACATCAGTTCTGCAACCCAAAGCCAAAGTGAGTAAATGTCTGGAACTGATTATTGCGTTTGAGAACAAAGCATAGTTTTTATTGTTTTAATATGAAAACATTAATTTAAAAAGAAAGCCCCAAAAGAAACAAGGGCTTTTCATGTTGAAAGCATGGTAAAGGAGAGCAAAAAAAATTTTCTTTGGGTAGAATTTCAGATTGTTGCAAAAGGATAATGCTGACAAGATAGTGCCCAGCTACCACTGCCAACCACTCAGAAAGGGATCAAAATTGGAGACATTGGATAGAGTGGGAGAAAATATGGAACAAAACTCAAAATCATTAAAAAAGACCAGGCTTGCTTATCTGATAGAGACTGGTAAAACTCCCAAGACTGTGGCCCCTAGTCACCCTTCAGGCCTGGAATTAAACTCACTCCCATGGCTTAACTTCCAGCCAAACAATAGATATATCTACAAGGTAGACAGGCTCCAGGTAGGTATATTCCTTAGAACCATGGAAGATCAGAAGGGTACCATTTGCACTAGGAGCTATCCCAGAGGCAGGAATGCATAGGAAAGAAGGACACAGGGAGAAGATAACCATAAGTAGGAAGAGAGCTGTTACGGTGTGGGAATTGCAGTCAATGCCATGAAACAGAATGTGTAAGAACTATTGAATAGAAAACCAATTTATTCTGTAAACTTTCACACGAATCACAATTTTTTAAAAAAAGAAAACAATATTTTAAATAACAAAAGAATTTGTCTCAAGAATATATCTGGTATAAAAGAAGGGTGGTGGTCCAGGTTAAAAGGGTATATTTTAAAAAAGACTGGAAAGACCTTCAGCAAACTTCATACTGCTAATAACTACTTCGTACTAATAACCTGCCACCCCTGGGGGTTGGGGGTGTGGAGATGATGCTGATGCTTTTTAGTAAAGTGCTCAGCAAACACAATTTGGCATTTCCTCACATGGAGTATATATCTTTGAATGTGAGTCTTTGTAACTCAGAAATTATATATAAGAATAGATTGTTTTCTTCAACAATGAAACTTACAGGTACGTAGGTTTGGGATTTTGTAGAAAAAAATGCAGGGATTTTATTTGTATGTCGTGTTTGTGTCCACATTTACAAAACATGGCTGCTTAAGTATAACCAGTCAAGACGACTGTGCTCTGTGAATGGTCAGTAAAGAGTGACTGGCTGTAGCTCCTCTGGTTTGTACTCCTGGCCTAGCTTTCTAGGGAGCTATGGGGAAGGAGTTTAAAATACCATATAAGAGCTGCTGCCACTATGAGGATAAAATGATTAATTGTATATATGAAAGAACACACAAGACATTAGTGGAAAATGTCACTTACTCCTGTCTAAAGGAGAACCATGTTTTCATTCCACTTCCAGTCTTGTTTCAGGTCCCAGATATCTAATGTCTAGAAGAAAACAGCAGATTGCCAATTGATTTGTTGCCTCCATACTTAGAATTTCCTGCCCTATTCCAGGTTATGCTAGGTAGCACCACCGAGTAATTTTGCTAAGGAAACACTGTTTGATGTCCCTATTTAAACCATTGATGCTGTCTTATTGCCCATCAAATAAGGTCATAACGTCTCATCCTGGCATTTCAAGTCTTCTAAAACTTGACTTCCGTCTGTCTTTCAGTGATCTATGGATTCTGTGTCCTAGCCTTACTCTTTCCAAATCTGTCCCATTGCAGCTCCTCCCACTTCCCTACCATAGCTCACATTATCTTCTTCTTAGAAGCCTTTTCCACCCACCTCTCCCTCCTTCTAGCAGTCATTAATTTATTTTATTCCTTCTCTAATTTGCCTTGGTCATTAGTAATAGAATGACCATTTTCTAGATTTCTGGGACAATAAATCTGTGTGATTGATTTGTGAACTTATCACACACTGCCTGGGATTGTAGATATTTTCTTTTCTGCGTTATGTCCCTCAATCTGTTGTAAGATATGTTATGTAACATGTATGTGAGTTATGTAAGCTCATTGAAGACAAGACCAAATGCTTTGAACAAACATACTGGTATCCACTAGGCAGTCTTTAAATATTGAGTAGTCAATCCCTGGGTTACAAATGAGATCCATTCCTAACTGTGTCTTTATGAATTATAGGTCAGTCAGAATAGATGCATATGGTTCTTATTTGGCCTACCTTTAGTGCAAGAAAAGGCTCAATGCTTCTTCAGTGATTTAAAAGTGATTTTAAATGCAGTAAGTGAAGGTGATTGTGATGAAGAATTTATTGCAGGCATGTGTTGGTTGTCTTTTCAAAGTGAGGGCATTTACATAACATTAAAGTAGGGATTCAGATATGGTGGCACCCCACTCAAAGATGGCAGCTGACCACACTGCTTTGAATTTTGTGGCTTTTCACTTTCTTGCTAGTAATCTAATCTCATGTATCAGATTCCTAAAAGGGAGTTTCCCTGTTCCAGGGCTTTGACTTGTAATTTTTCCTTTTGCAGTTACTGTGATGAGTCACCCAAATTGTAAAAATTCTGGGCTGGATAGAATAGAATGACTAGCTTTGGGGAAAGGAGGCAAATTCTAGAATGCCTACCTCACTCCTTAAGCAGTGCTTTTCAAAGTATTTTTGGTCTACTAAGAGTTTTGCAATTCTAAGCAAACCCTCTCTCTATAAATAATATGTGTTACTTTGTGTAGTGGTCAGGTGTGTCAAGGGCAGTGTATAGCACCCTGGTTGACAGGATTTCAGTATACTGTTTAGGCAAAAGGGTAGGGGTTCGAACAGCAAAAAAGGGAGCTTAACTAATGATCTCATAAATACATGGTATTGTGCTGCTCTGATGGTTTTTTCCCCCTTCCCACAGAACAACATGATACTTCAAAACCCCACTCTAATTCTCAGCAGGGAACATCGTAAGTAAAATGTTTTTGTTTATTAAAAGTTTGTAATATGCTGGAATTTCCCATGTAAATCCATTGCTTAGGTTTTCTTTCTTTCTGTTTTTCCTCCTCCTACTTTCAAAGTAATGCCATTGATAAAACACCACTGCATTGTAAAGGAGAAAATGATACATTTATATTTGGAAGAAGTCCTCTTGTTTAAGTATTTTGTATGATAGGAGAAAGTTTATAACAGGTTTTCTGAAAAGAAAGGAAAATGTGCTATCATTTACATATTAATGATAATTAATCAACTTTGGATCTATAAATTTCAGTCATAAATAGCTTTTGAAAGCACAGTTTGTGGAATGTGTGCAATTTAAGATTTTCTACCACTTCTATGGTCTAGTTTCACATTACAAAGAACTATTCCTGTTGCCCAGCTGCTCTTTAAGGCCGAGTAAGTCCAGGTATATTTTGGGTTTTTGGAACATTTTAGATTAAAGAATTTTGACCCAATTTGTCTTTTCTTGATGGTATTAAACGTATATTTCTTTCCTTTCATACAACCAGAAGTGACGTTTAGGGACTTAGTGAGGAAGCCTTTCTTCTTCAGTCTGGATTAACACTTGTTAGTCTCAGGGAGTTGCAGTTTCAGCTTTCTTTTGTTTTCTACGCACAGTATTTGTTCAGTGTGTTTTGAAAGGAGGATGGGCAGTGCTGTGGATTCAGAATTTAAAAGACTGTATACTCAAGCAAAAGAAAGCATCTATTATATCTCCTATTTATATTGATTATTTGACTGCTAACCAGAAGGCTGGCGGTTCAAACCCACCAGCCACTCCTCGGAAGGGAGATGGGGCAATCTACTTCCGTAGTGATACTGCCTCGGAAACCCAAGGAGGGGTCGCTATGAGTCAGGTCTGACTCCACGGCACCTAACAACAACAACAACATTTATATTGATTATGGGACTGGGTTAAATCACTGTTCCCAGGTGCCAGCTCCTTGAGGCAGTTTGTTTTTGTTTCTCCATAGCAAGATGGGGTGAAAGGAGGGAAGCCAATATAATAAGGTTGGGTTTTGTTGTTTTTTTAAATAAAATTTATTATAGTTTGAAGGATGGATTTTTGTGTGTGTGTGAGAAAAATTTATTTTTATATGGTACTTGTAGATGATAAGTTTTTATTTGCTTTTAATGTCCTTTAGTAAAGTAAATAATAATAATAATATGATAATAACTGTTAAGATAATAGCTTCTTTTATTTTTGAAATATTATGGGCTCCTGAATTCTGGAAGTCAAAGCATCACTGGATTATATTACACTTAAGAAAGGAGGAGCTTTGTTAAACCAACTGATAGCTGGTAAGGAGTGGAAATTGCAGACCCAAAAACCACAACTGTAGGGATTCTGTATCAGCTCTTCAGCATGTCCTTGATTTTACTTCTGGTGCTTCTCTGTGATGGTTAGTAGTAAACCCATTGGGCTGTGGAAAGCCCATTCATTGTCTTTGGGGCAGTGAGGTTGGGCAAATTGAAGTGCATGCCTCCCACTTGTCAGTAAGACCAGAAAGGAGATCTCCAAGCAGTAGCATAGGTGGAGACAGCCTTATGGTAAGTCTGCTGTTGCAGGTGTCCAACTTACATGGACAGGACTTGACCTTTAGTGTTACATAAATTGCCTTCACTTTGAAATGATTGAATCAAATCATTGAAAAGCCTTTGAGCCTTTCGTTGCATTAAGCAAATGAAACCATATCAAACCCATTGTTGTAAAATTGATTCCAATTCATAGGGACCTTGTTGGATGTACAACTGCCCCATAGGGTTTCAAAAGCTATAAACTTTAATGGAAATGGACTGCCACATCTTTCTCCTGTGGAGTAGCTGGTGGGTTCAAACCATCAACCTTTCAGTTGGCAGCCTAGCAGCTTAAACACTGTGCCACCAGAGCCCCTTTTTGAACTCGCACTGCCGTCAAGTTAGGTCAAACTCACAGCAACCCCTTCTTGGGTTTCTGAGGTGGTATCACCATGGAAGTAGATTGTACCATATTCACTTACTCCAACTTATCTACAAATTTGACTTTAAAGATACATTTAGGAACTGATCATGGTCATAATCAGGGCCTGTACCAGGAGGAAAAAGGCAGTTATGTCTCTGGGCTTGTGGGTAAAGAGAGGCAAATAAGTGGGTCTGATCTAGTGCTGAAAAGTAGTTTCAGGCTGAGCAGGCAAAAGTTACACCCTCCCACTCCAGTTATCATCAGGTTTTTCAGGGTTAGGTAGTAGATAGCGACTTAGACATTTCCAGTGATGATTTTTTTTTCCTCTAAATGTTATTTTGTTGTTGAGAATATATACAGAAAAAATATACATAATTCAATAGTTTCTACATGTTCAATATACTGATATAGATTACATTTTTGAGTTATGCACCTTTCTTGAGTCGTTCCTCCCTCATTAACATAAACTCAGTGCCCCCTAAGGTTCCTATCTAATCTGTCAAGTTGCTATTGTCAATATGATCCCATCCCATATAGTTTTTAGAAGAGCATAATGCTCAAGGCAGACCTTTTTTTTTTTTTTTTTAAATAGGTAAACTAAAATACTCTTTGGTTTTAAGATAGCTTTCTATGGAATCTTTGATCTTAATGTTCAGTAGTGGTAATTAGCTGCACATTCCATATCCTCCTCCTTTTTCTGACTCCTCCTCCCTCTATTACTCCAGATGAATAGAGACCAGTTGTCATGCCTTTGATGGAGGATTGCAAATTTATAAGACCCCAGGCGATCCCAGACACTATGCAATGAACTAGGAAGTTAGAACAGAAGCACTAAACACATTATTATTATTAGGCCAGTTAACTGGAATGTCCCATGAAACCATGAGCCTAAACCTCCAAACCAAGGAACCAAATCCCATGCGGTGTGTTTGGCTGTGTATATAAGCAGCCTCAGCAGCTTCTCTTTTTTTGTTGCAAATATATCACACAACCTTTGCCAACTCAACTTTTTATAGATGTGCAAATTATTGACAGCAATTACAGTAACCCCCATAACTTTAAACTTTGATGCCTTTACATTTGTCTTTCCTTGTCTTTATATATAAGTGAGGTTATATAATATTTGTCCTTTTGTGATTACCTTATTTCACTCAGCAGAATGTCTTCAAACACCATCCATACTGTGTAGCATGTATCTAAAGTTTGTTTCTCTTACTGGCTGAGTAGTTGTATTCCCTTGTATGTAAGTGTCACATTTTATTGATCCATTCATGTGTTGAAGGACAATTTAGGTTGTTTTTGATTTTTGGCTGTTATGAATAGTGTTGTAGTGAACATTTGTATACAAGTCTCTTTTTCAGTCTCTGCTTTCAAGTCGTTTGGGGTCTATACCTGGGAGTGGAATTGTTGGGTCATATGGTAGTTCTATTTTTAGTTTATTGAGGAACTGACACTGTTTTCCACAACAGCTATACTATTTTTCCTTCCTACCAGCAGTGGATGAAGGAAGGAAGGTTGGGCAATCTACTTCTGTAGTGATACCGCCTCAGAAACCCAAGGAGGGGTCGCTATGAGTTGGGGCCAACTCGATGGCACAACAACAACAACAGCCAGCAGTGGATAAGGGTTCCAATGTCACCACTTCCTCACCAACATTTGTTTTGTTTTATGTAAGCTATCCTAGTATTTCATTGTGGTTTTGATTTGCATGTCTTTGATGGCTAATTACACTGAGCATCTTGTCATGTGTTTGGTGGCCATTTGAACGTCTTCTTTGGTGCTTTGGTGAAAAGTCTATAAAAGTCCTTTGCCCATTTCATGATTGGGCTATTTCTCTTTTGTTACGTTGTTGAAATTTTATATATTTTGGTTATTAGATTCTTGTCAGTCCAGTGAAGAATTGGTTATTCAGATCAGTGGGTTATTCTTCTGGTAGAAGTGAGTTAAAACCACTGAAATCAGAGGTGCCTGAAAGTTTATAACCAGGTATATTTGTACTTTGGGAAATGTAGTGTTTTCTTTTTAAAAATATCAATTTTCCACAAGTTACATAGGAAAGAATATTGTGATGGCTCTTAATAGACTTAGGGAAGAAATAGGGCCTAGTAAAGGTAAGAAAGAGAAGAAGGTAATGTAGGAAGAGAGAGACTGAGGCTGTGTGGAAAATAAGGGTTATATGGACCTGGGTGGTGCAGATGGTTAAGTATGTGGCTGCTAGTCAGAAGGTTGGAGGTTCAAACTCACACCCAGTTGCCTTATAGAAAAGCCTGGCAGTCTGTTTCTAAAAGATCATAGCCATGGAATACCTGTGGAGTGCAGTTCTTCTCTGCAACACATGGGGTCGCCATGGGTTGAAATTAACTTGTTGACAACTGAAAAAAAATTTTTTAATGGACTTGGACGTTGTGTGGGGGATGGTGTGTGATGTTGATAAGTGACAGAATGAAATGTACCTCTGGGAAAATGAATCACTTTTATAAACTTAGTTATTTTTAATGGAAATTGGATGAAAGCAATTAATTTGTAAAGTGCAATAATTGTTTCAGATTTAGTATGGCAAATCTCTGGGTGCCCCAGGTTAATTTGATCTAGTGTCAGCATTAGAGTTTGTCATTGTCTTTGAAGGACACACACAGTGCCAGGGAGATAGTCGAATGCATTCTGAATGTCAGAAAAAATGGTTAATTACAGAGTCATTTGTACTTTAGTTTTAAAAGTCAATCTATGTTTTAAAGCTTTTTCTTTCAGTTACTAGTTGTTCTGGTTACATAGTGCCACTCTGACAAGAATATACCACAAATGGGATGGCTTTAACAAACAAGAGTTTATTCTTATAATTTGGAGGCTTTAAGTCCGAGTTCAAAGTGCCAGGCTCTAGGGGCTGGATGAAAGCCCCTCAGCCTTGGGCTTTAGCTCTGCCTCCTGCTCCTGGCCAACTGGAGCTAGAGGCTTTTCTTCACTCAGACAGCTGCTGGCTGCTGAGGCTGACAAGCAAAAAGGCACAGTCCTGATGTTACCAAACCACAAGGCAGGTCCTTAATTCAAGTCCATCAAAAGTCCCAAGGTCGGCAGACCATGGCAGGCTGCTGAACAGCAACACGGCTACATGCAGGGTTCAAGCATGCCATAAGCTAGAGACCATTCCCAAAGCTGCTACTTATGTATGGGAAGCAGACCACATACCCAAAGGCAGCTGCTCCCAGTAAATTCCATCAAGGACTTGATTACCAGTCTCATCATGGGGAATACTACATTCAGCTGCCCAGCCATTCAACCAGGCCTAGCCAAGTTGACATACAACTTTACCTACCACACTAGTACTTAGGAATCCTTAGATAAGTACATATGAAAGGGAAAATTTAGAGGGAGAAAAAAAAAAAAAAAAAACTAGAGAAAGGAGCTCTCGTGCTGCAGTGATTAAGTATTCATCTGCTAACTGACAAGGCAGTTTGAACCCAACAGCCACTCCATAGGAGAAAGAAGTGACATTCTGTTTCTTTAAAGATCAAAGCCTTGGAAACACTTTGGGGAAAGTTCTCTTCTGTCCTGGAGGGTCTCTGTGTGTCAGAATCAACTCAATGACAACGAGTTAGCATTAGAGAAAATTTTGTGAATATTCTGCATTAACTCTTACATCTGTCCCATACTTGAGTGAGAGAGTAGGATGGTGGAAGGATATAGGTGTAAGGAATTTTATGCGGAATCCGTTACATTTCATCTTTCAAGTTTAATCTCTAGTTATTTCTCAAATATCAGATTCCCTCTGCAAAGCTCTGCAGGTGACTGATTACCTAGGATGTTAGTGCTATTTGCCCCTAAGTTTATGGGAGGATATATTTACCTAAGGGCTTTTGCTTCTGAATTCTGCTTCCTTTCCAAGTCTTGGATCTTTTGAGTTTTCAGGGCAAAGTACAAAGTAGTTCCCTTTTCTATATAATTATTTTATCTTCTATATACTTTTGGACAGTTCTCTTGCTCTGCAGCCAGATGCAATTTATTGGTATGGATGCTTTTGTCAGCCTCTCATTCCATTAAATGCACATCATAGGAACTATGTATTTTATTTTAGAAACTATTAGCTATTAGATAACATTTTAGAAACTATAAAACAGGTTATATTTATTATTGTGTCTGACTTCTTTCTCCCTTCCTACCCTCCACCCAGAAATTGCTAAATCCTTTATTGAAAGACAGGAGCTTTGGTGGTGTAGTGGCTAAGGCAGTTGACTGCTAACCAGAAGGCAGGCAGTTCAAACCCACCAGCCACTCCTTAGAAGGAAGGTTGGGCATTTACTTCCGTAGTGATACCGCCTCGGAAACCCAAGGAGGGGTTGCTATGAGTCGAATCTGATTCAACAGCAGTGGTTGTGTTTGTTTTGCATTTATTAAAAGATGCCTTCCTTTAATTTTCTTGCATTTGCCTCAGAAATCACCAGTGCTTATTTAGAATAAGAGGCAGAAATTAGTCATGACAGGAGTTTGAGACTTTATTATTTATGTGGAAAGTTTCTTTTGAAATGAAGAAAATCTCTGGATGTAAAGGGCAAGAATTGGGATTATTCGTGGATTTCATGAAAGAAGGAATGATACAAGATTAATAAAGACTGGGCAGAGTTTGGTACCTTTTTAAATAACCTGAAGTTTTCAACTTTTACTCCAAGCATTACCAAGTTTTAAGTATCTTGGTAAAGAACTAAGGAAGATCTGCTATATCAGTTTATTTTAATATCAAATCATTACATCAGCACATGTATGTCAGTTTAAGTGTCTGAGCGTTAAGTCTGAAGAAATGGCTTACTTTTACCAGTTAATTTAAATCATATTAAGCCTAGGGAAATTTTTGTTTTTCTTTTTAAGACCTTCCCTTGAATCTTGTCTTTGAATGTTAACTTACCCTATGCAAAGGTGTTTCATCTGGGTCTTCCAGTAGCAGCTCTAACTTAAATTGCTATTTACTGATAAATATTACGGAAGAAGTACAAAGCACCTAATGTGTGAAGGTTTTAAATTATTTGTCATTGAGATCATACCCCTCTCTCTTGTTCATAGTTCTTCAGCTCTCTTGAAAAGAAGAAACAAACATTTGTTCCAGGGTGTAAGTGTGAATTAACAATAATTCTCAATAGTCAGTACCTGGCATCACGGGAAAAGATTAAACTTTATTTTTATTCCCAGCTTAATCAGTTCAAGTGATTGAAAACTCAGGGTTATAAGTACTCATAATTTTGGCATAATGCCTAAGACATTTGACTGCTAACCAGAAGGCTGGCGGTTCAAACCCACCAGCCACTCCTTGGAAGGAAGGTCGGGCAATCTACTTCCGTAGTGATACTGCCTCGGAAACCCAAGGAGGGGTCGCTATGAGTCGGGGCTGACTCTATGGCACATAACAACAACAACAAATATAAGTTGTTTAGGTAAGGGAAGTATTTTGTTTGTTTACAGGAGGAAAGATAGAGGTATAAAATGGAAGACAGCAAGGAACTGAGGTTTTTTTGTGGTGGTGGTTGCTATCCTTGTTATGTGCCATCGAGTCATCTCTGACTCATAGCGACCTTATGTACAACAGAACAAAACACTGCCCGGTCCTATGCCAGCCTCACAATCCCTACTATACCTGAGTCCATTGCTGTAGCCACTGTGTCAGTCCATCTTTTTGAGGGCCTTCCCCTCTTTTGTGGACCCTCCACTTTACCAAGCATGACATCCTTCTCCAGAGAATGGTCCCTTCTGACAACATGACCAAAGTAGGTGAGACAAAGTCTGGTCATTATTGCTTCCAAGGAACATTCCAGCTACAGTTCTTCCAGGACAGATTTCTTAGTTTTTTTAGCAGTCCACGATACTTTCGGCATTCTTTGCTAACACCACAACCCAAAAGCATAGACTCTTCTTCCGTCTTCCTTATTCATTGTCCAGCTCTCATGTGCATACGAAGTGACTGAAAATACCATGACTTCTGTTAGGTGCATCATAGTCCTCAATGAGAAATCTTTGCTCTTCAGCACTTGAAAGCGGTCTTTTGCAGCCAACTTGCCCAATGCTGTGCATCATCTGATATATTGACTGCTGCTTCCATTGATGTTGATTGTAGAACCAAGTAATATGAAGTCTTTGACAACTTCAGTGTTTTCTCTATTCATTGTGATGCTGCTTATTGGATCACTTGTGAGGATTTTTGTTTTCTTTGTATTGAGATGTAATCTATATTGCAGACTGTGTTCTTGAATCTTCATCAGTAAGTGCTCCAAGTCATCCTCACTTATACCAAGCAAAGTCGTGTAGTCTGCGTATCTCAGGTTGTTTATGAAGCCTTCCTCCAATCCTGATGCCACATTCTTCTTCATATAGTCCAACCTCTCAGATTATTTGCTCAGCATACAGACTGAATAAGTATGGTGAAAGGATACAACCCTGATGCACTCCCTTCTTGATTTTAAACCATGCAGTGTTCTCTTCGAATGACAGCCTCCTGGTCTATGTACAGGTTCCTCATGAGTACAATTAAGTGTTCTGAAATTCCCGTTCTTCTCAGTGTTATCCAAGTTAGTTATGAACCACACAATTGAATACCTTTGCATAGTCAATAAAATACAAATAAACGTCTTTCTGGTACTCTTTGCTTTGAGCCAAGATCTATCTGACATCAGCAGTGATATCCCTTACTCCATATCCCTTTCTGAACGCAGCTTCAATTTCTGGAAGTTCTTTGTAAATATACTGCTGCAACCATTTTTGAATTATCTTCAGTAAGACTTCACTTGTGTGTGATATCAATGATACTGTTTGGTAATTTCCACATTGTGTGGGATCACCTTTCTTTGGAATGGGTACAAATATAGATGTCTTTGTCTTTGGTGGTTGGTGTGTAAATTTAAATCATAGTAGTATTAATATTAGTCTCTGGTTGTAGCTCCAGGTGATTTGAAGATACTGCCAAAAGTTTCCTCTATTCATCCATTCAGTGAGTACTTATTAAACATGTACTGTGTTCCAGGTGCAGTTTTAGGTACTTGGGGAAACAGTTGTCATTAAGGCCCAATCTTAGTCTTCCACATCTTGTAATTAAATGTGGGTGACATAATGCACACTTAAAAACTTCACCTAGTAATCTCAGACAGTTACAAA